TGTGTGTGTACGTATATGTATGTATATGTGTGTGTGTGTGTATATATATATATATATGTATGTGTATTGCGTACATTACACACATACACACAGCATGCACTCCCAAAGAATTTAATGTTAACAATATATGTAAACAGAATGTTTTTTAATATAGTTATTGAAAACATAAATTACATAGCAATATTTACAAAAAGATATATTTATTAAGATACAGTTCCTTAAAATTAGATTATTTTATTCATCTCCACGAATTGCTCTATATTTGGCTAGTTCATTTGGAAAAACTCGATTTAACTCCACCAGCATATTTGCCTTAAATTTCCTATAGGCATCAATTTTCCCTTTTACTTGCTCATTTTTTGTTAAAGCTTTTTCTATACAGTCTTTAGTATATAACTGAGGATTCCTTCCTTGGTCAATATAACTGCAACAAGTTTTTTTATAATATTAACTTTATTAGTTAAAAGTTAGTTGAACGCATCAAACTTAAAAATATTATTAAACTTACTCAAATACTTCCAATGGCACATGGATCTCTTGAGATTGTACTTGAGATTTTAGCTTGTCGATCTCCTGCAAGCCATTGACTAAGCCTTGACTAAAAAAAAATTTATTAAATTTATTATAAAGATATATATTTAATAAATTTTAGATGATGAATGCTTTCCAGCAACAGACGCAAATCAACAACAAGTAGTTTTCTTTTTTTGTCATCCATTATTTTTGTTCTTTACTAAATGTTAAACAAGAACAGATGATATAATTAGATTTATGTCAATTCACGTTTCTTGCTGAAAAGCAAATATTAACTATGATTTATAATAACTATGATTTATAACTACACAAATATAAAGCCTTTGTTAAATAAATCACATCTTACAATAATTAAAAAATAATAATAAAATTGTCTATTTGTTTGAACAACATATATCTATTGTAATTATCATTATCATTATTGAAATAATAAAATCTACATGCTCCTAAGAAATGTGCTTTTCTCCATATGAAACCATGTAACATTGAAGATCTTTATTGTTAATTTAATCTTTTTAATTACATTCTGGATTTCGAAAGCACGTTTTTAACAAATACGTGATAAGCGTGAACACTATATTGCTCAATTATAACACAAACGCGCATTGCCATTATACACTGCTGTGAGGTTAACTTAAGAAAATTATGTTTCAACGTATGAATCTGAAAATGCATGATGAAAATGATGAATTTTTCATCATTACTTACATCTTCTGGTTCAATACATTTTGTCCTTGGGGCTGAAAATCGCTCACTATGATGCGTATTTGTCGCACATTCTCAATAAAAAGTTCTAATTGAGCCTCTAAGTTCTCCAAAGTGGATGCCATTTTTCTTTTGTATAAAAATGGCAAAATTGGTAAATTACTTCCAAAATTTGTTGGTAATACGGATACGTTCAGAGAACACGATTCTGTACAATTGAGCCAACACTCGCTTTTATTTAGATTTTATACTCTTTCTATTGATTGTATTTTTTGTAGCCCTAAAACTCGTGTTTTCTCGCTGCACTGGACTGTATGTATTAAAATTTTTCTTCTTACAAACGATACTTTATTTTACATCAAAGTTGATATATATATCTTATTCATTTTATTCACACAAGTATACAGAAGCATACACTAGTATAATTAGTATGGGCAAAGTATGGTTTTTATTCGAACCTAATAAAATTAAATATGATAGGAATATGTCTACTGTACCGACTATGAAATCTATGGAAATATGTAGAAATGAAAAATTGATATTCACTATAGACGTGTCCCCTTGTTGTTCGCCGCATATTGGAAGTATATAGTTCCTGTCACATATATTATAGATTTCAGTATAAGGAATGAGAGTCATCGCACACAAAATAAGATAGAGCCACTTCCAACTCCAATTAACGTAAGTCCTGGTTTACAATAGGTGATTTAAGCCTTAAGCCATAAGAAATTGACCAATCATAGTCGATTATTCTCCTATTCTTTGACTATGATTCGTTCCTATTGTAGACCGGAACTAATCGGCCGATTAAGGTTGTATAATATACGTGACCTGAACTATATATTTTCAGTACTGGCAGTAAATATCGGAACCAGCCTAATTATGTATGAGAGCGTCCCAGATGAGCACATTTTCAATCGGACACACCACTCATATCGGCTGATGTCTAGGAATTTTCTAGTGAGCCATCTATCAAAAAAATCTATTATTAAACCGACCAATCGGCAGTGTGTCCGATTAGATCTCACCTTGCGAGTGAACAAACGTGAACAAACCTTTATGTATTTCACTATTCCTTTATGTTTCAAGAATAAAGCCAGCGGCACACGGCTTTTTTTTCTTGCTTGGTTTGCTAGCTGGATTTGCTTGCTTGTGAACTCTTGTTTTTAATTGGTATATTCTTTTAGATCTAAAAAAATATACCAATCGAAGACAAGAGCTCAGCAAGCACACGAATCCCAGCTAGCAAACTAGCAAAAAAAGAAGCATCGTGTGTCATTGGCTTAATTTTGTGATTGTTCGTTCTAATTGCCAAGTCGTATCGCAACCGGCAACTTTGAAAATTTACTCTTAAAATAATTTGACATCAAAGTTTGGTTTTTGCTTTAAAAACATGACTTTAAAGCACGTAGTAATAGGTAAGCACATTCACAAATGGATTTATTATAATTTCACAAGATCGCTAAGTAAATGGAATTACGTGATATGTATGAGGTTATATAATATTTTCAGGTGGTGGTACTGGTTTCATAGGATCACAGCTAATAAAATCATTAAGTCTCGAGGGTATTTCTTGCACATGCATTTCTCGAATGCCAGGTCCGAATAGAATATCATGGGTAAATTAAATATGGACATATTAAATTTATTAATAAAAATTAAATTGAGTATAGCTATATAAACATCTATAGAACAATTTAGAACGCTATGGACTACCAGAGAATACATCAGCTGTTATCAATGTTGCTGGGCAGAATATATTGGATATTAAGCAACGGTGGTCGCCCGGTTTTAAACAAAATGTCAGAAACAGCAGGGTGAAGACAACCAAGACTTTAGCAGACTCTGTACAAAATACCAAAGCTACAGTTTTTGCTACTATATCAGGAGTCTCGTATTACAAACCCAATAATACAATATATACAGAAGAAAGCAAATGCGAATCTTATGATTTTTTATCAAGTAGAATATTCATTTTTTTATTCATAATGTACTTATATTTGTAAATTAATTTTTATTTTGCTATAGGACTTTGTCATGATTGGGAAGAAGCAGCAAAATTGCCAGAAGATTGCAACATTAGACAAGTGACAATAAGATCTGGAGTCGTATTAGGAAGAAGTGGTGGTATGATTAAAGAAATCTATCCACAATTCTTTGTTGGTCTTGGTGGCTCAATAGGAACTGGGAATCAATACATGCCCTGGATACATATCACTGATTTAGTCAATATGTTTATGTTTGTACTTAAAAATAATAATGTGCATGGTATATTAAATGGAGTAGCCCCTCAGGTAACATACATAATTTTATGCTCTTTAATTAAGATATAATCGCTAATTGTATATCACTTGGCCAACAGCTTATAACAAATAAGGAATTTACTAAAGCGTTTGCTGTGGCAATGAAAAGACCAGCAATTATACCTCTTCCAAGTTTTCTTCTGAAAATATTACTCAACGAGGAACGTGCAAAGGTCATTATATTATATACAAAAATTTAATATTTAATAATTTCATTTCATTTTTTCCCCTTTATTTCAGATCATGTTGGAAGGACAAAAGGTTATGCCAAAACGTGTTACAGAGTTAGGATTTCAATATCAATATCCAGATATTGAAAGTGCTTGTAAACAACTCCTTCAATGAATTATATACTTTAAAAAAGTATATATGACGAAACTAGAAATGGATAATTATAAAATTATTAAGCAATAATGTAATATATATTATTCAAATTGTTGATTTGCGATAAAATATCAAGTTTGAATGTATCTTTTATGATAGAAATTGTTATTTAGTAATAAGATATTTAATATTATTTATTGCAATATAAATTAAATGAATATGAAATTTTGCTTTGCTACATAAATTTATTTTTAATACACAATCGCGAATTTATTACAAATTATTACAAATATTAGTAATTTCGAAGACAATGAACATTACGAATAAATAATATTCGATTAATTACATTCTCCATAAAACACAAGTAAATACGATATATATGTTATATAGCTTTACGTGTTGTCATTGTGGGAATACTACGAATATTTCTAGTACACTTGAAATAATTGAAATGTGTTGAATTTTCCGTATAAGGTCCCCTTTTCAGATTTGCTAAGTGGGAATTATCAAATTGCGTTTCGAACATTAAACTCGGATAACTCGAATTCTGCTGTATTCGATAACATGCTCTATTCAATGTACTGCCTAAGACATTGTCTGAGAGAGTAAATTCGTTGAACATGGGACATGATCTTGGCAAGTTTTTCAAAGGTTCCTTAGAATCAAAAGATAGCAATAATTGGTCCGAAGGATTGATCAAAGAACGATCGGGATACTTGAATCGGCTCATGTTTAAGAAATAATTAATTTCTTTTCTTAAGTTTTGTATCTCTTCTCTCGTTAATCCTTTCATACTGAGAGTGATCAAGAACCCATTTCTATGGAGAATATAAAGACCCATCTCGGTAGAGATCCCGACATGTCGAATGTCAGTGAGTCTCATCAATGAGAATTCACCTGAACTATCAGAGCACAATTTGTCGCTCCAAACGGATTTTTGGATAATAGCTTTATTCTCGTGTTTATACAAAATCAAGTCTTCCCATTCTCCAAAACTGTCGAGTCCAAATATGATTTCGCTCAGAAGCAAGATAATCAAGAAGTACACATTGCTCGTCAAATGGCTAAATATTCCAATGAAAATTACAGCCGACACTGAAAAATATAATTCTGTGTAAGATAAATATTAACAATAAAAATATAATTAGGAAATAAAAAGGCACATTTTTAGACTAAAATTGTATATTTATATACATTATATTTACAATTATTTTTACAAACTTTCAAAAAATAATTATATATTTAATTAGATTGAAATTCTGTTAATTAAACATGAAGATTTTACACGTTAAAATTGAAGATACAATAATAAATCATCTCTTACGGGCAAGCAACAACCATGCAATGCATCCTGGCCTTCGCGAAATATGTAATTTATTTTTATCTAGTATCTTGAGTTGAGGCTTTGCAATCATATTGCTATCATGAAATTTAACATTGCAGAAAAAATTTCAATAAATATCCTAATCACGTGAGATAGAATAAAAAAAGTAAGAAAATTTTGACACATGGTGCGAATCGCCGAAGATTAGTTGAAGTTGCACCATGCACTTGTTATTTTAAGATTTGGTCCTCTTTGTGTCTATATTGGATTTGTTCTTGTATTAACAAGTTCACTATGGAATTTGATCAGTGGAAAAATACAAATAAAAATAGAAAGAACATTCCAGTGAAAAAATAAATATAGTGCAAGAGGATGTATCAATAATGTTTTACATTTATTCATTTTACATTTTAAATGAATTTTACATTTCAATTATCTCGAAAATAAAATATATTTTCAGAAAAAAAGTTTCAAAGCAAAATTATAAGACTTTGAAAATTATAAGATTTATAATTCACATAATTATAATATTGATCTATTCTACAGATGGAGTCACTGTCACGACTTTTTCATAATCGTCATTTTTTTAAATAGAATCATAAATCTTTTATTACATAATATGATTCCTCTAATTATTTTAAATATCAAAATATAAATAAAATATATAAAAAATAAATATAAATAAAATATAAATACAAAAATACAATTATCAAAAAATTAATAGTTTACAAGATATTTTATGTTTTATTCTGATGTAATAAAGATACAGAATATAATATAACTTGTAAACTATTTATTTTTTGATAATCGTATCTTAACATTTTTATGATCTCATTGAGACAAATTGATGTAAAGAAGATATATATATATATATATATATATATACTATTAAATT